TTCACACTGTCTTGATCAAGAGTGTGAAGCTTTCTACGAGTTGTAGTATTTGCATTGTTACAGAGGGGAAATGTCTGAAGCAAATGCAAGAGGGCTGAATAGCTTGATCTTCATATAACATGCACTGAAGTTGTTATTGGCTTGCAATAAGACTTTGTTGATGACTACAACTCTTGTTGGGGATAAGTGATCCCCTAGTTGAGTTGTCAAGTTTGAGGGCTTTTGATTATTTGTGAATGCTAGAAGTTCACATGTATAAGTTGTACCACTCGTCTTCTGGTAGGTGGAATGAATGGTGAGTTGCTTTCATCACTTGGTTGGTGGTACAAAGGTGAGTTCCTTCATCACCTTTCATCACATTTCATCACCTGGTTGGTGGCACGAGGATGAGTTCCTTCTTCACCTGGTTGGTGGCATGAATGGCAAGTTGCCAAATGATATTAGAGTACGGGTTATACATTTCATCACCTGGTTGATGGCATGAAGGAGAGTACGGGTTGTACATTTCATCACCTGGTTGATGGCATGAAGATGAGTTCCTTCTTCACATGGTTGGTGGCATGAGTGGCAAGTTGCCAAATGATATTAGAGTACTGGTTATGCATTTCATCACCTGGTTGGTGACATGAAGGAGAGTACGGGTTATACATTTCATCACCTGGTCTGTGGCATGAAGATGAGTTCCTTCTTCACCTAGTTGGTGGCATGAGTGGCAAGTTGCCAAATGATATTAGAATACGGGTTGTACATTTCATCACCTGGTTGGTGGCATGAAGGGGAGTACGGGTTGTACATTTCATCACCTGGTTGGTGGCACGAAGATGAGTTCCTTCTTCACCTGGTTGGTGGCACGAGTGGCAAGTTGCCAAATGATATTAGAGTACGAGTTGTACATTTCATCACCTGGTTGGTGGCATGAAGATGAGTTCCTTCTTCACATTTCATCACTTGATTGGTGAGAATAAGGGCAAGGTGTCGAGACACATTGTAGCAAGTGTTGAAGACACAAAGTATGTTGAACCATTTCGAAGCACAGTTGGCTTATGTATGGATGTGTTGGAATGTATGATGTTTATGTATGAATGTGTTGGAATGTATAATGTTTATGTTGATTGATATGAGTGATGCTTATAAATGTTTTGCTATACATGAAGGGATCCATGCTTTTGATATGTGACCCATATTGGTTGTAACACTTAGTATCACATACTTTGTGTCAAAGTACGCATGTTGAAGCTCTGAGTTGGAGTATAAGGGTAGGTCAGCGTAGACCAAGTGTTCCAGTGTTAGGAACGCAAAAGACTCATAAGAAGTTATCTGAATTCCCTCTTCTTTAAATATTTGTCGAATGGCTTGTGTGACAAAAGATCTCAAGCAGTTAAGAGTCAAAACATTTGTAATGTGTATGACTTCTTATAATATCATTTCCTTCAGTACCTAGTCCTCCACTTTAAAAGAGTGAGGCTTGGCCCCATAGTCATAATAGTCGACGGTACGTTCACCCCTGGTTGTCTTGATACGAACTTTTATCCTTCTTGTTGTAATGGGCCTGCTGAGAGTAAAAATCCTTCATCTTACCAATAGACAGATACGTTTGGTGACTTAGCGAGTAGCTAAATGAGGCAGGAGACGATGCATTGGGTGTCTAAATGGCCAATATCTCCTCACTTGGTAGAACTTGACTTCCACTTCCCATTTGTTGATAGGGGTTAACCATATAAGGGTTCCCTTGGTATGTCCTTGCTTCGACGGAAGCGTGGTTGTAAGCCTGTGTCATCACCTCAGAGTAAGTTTTCCAAGTGTTGGCATTGATCATGTACTTGAAGAAACAATCACATAGGCCTGCCGTGAAGGCCTTGAGGGCAGTCTTGTCATCTGCCTCAGTGCAGCGAGAATACTCATGGCTGAAGCAACCGACATACTCTCGTAGTGACTTGTCCGACTTCTGTGTACAAGTCATCTGCAAAATGCAAGTAATCGGTCTGGAAGATGTGTTGAGAGACAAACAGTTTCCTCAATTCCTCAAATGAGTCTACTGTCTCAGATGGAAGATGGCAATACCAGTTTAGAGCTCTGCCAGAGAAGGTGGAGGGGAAGAGAAGACATCGCTCTTCGTCGGTGTGCATACGATATGCCATGGTGGACTCAAAGAGGTTAAGGTGTTCAATTGGGTCCTCCCTTCCAGTATAGAGTTGTAAACCAAGCTTTTGTTTTGTCTTCGCTTGAAGGGGGTGTCGAGGATCCTTCTTGTGAGAGGGCCAAGCCTGGGTTGGTTTTAGTCAGGTATCTCGGCCTGACGTTCGGCCTTCAACTTGTTTACCTCCTCAAGAAGCTGTAGGACAATGGGGTCTTAAGTGGAGTCATGTACCACTGGAATTTTCTTTCGTAAGTCTCCATCGCCTTTTGGAAGTAGGAAAGTTTGAGCAAGGGCGTGTGGTTTTTTCTTGGACTCGCCGTACTGACTTCTAGGGCGAGTCTGTCGGAATACCTCAGAGTCTCCCGTACCTTTATGTTCCTCTAGGACCTGTTGTTCCTTCCCTAGATTGGCAGCTGGCTTGGGTCGTGGAAGGGGACCAAGTTTTTCAGAAACCCTTGGGTCATTGATCTTCGAGGATATGTGGAGGGGATTCTCTCAACGTTGCTTTAGGAAGTCTCGGTAGTCACGATAAACGGCTTTCGATCCTTCCAACCCTTCTGCAAGGATGTGTCTTCCTCCACTTTTTCTACTTCAGGTCGAAGTATCTGGGTTGAGAGAAGTCTCATGTTGATCAATGTTTTGATGATTAGCTCGTTCCTCATCAAGGATACCCATGTCGAAGGGAGGTGACCCTCCGTGTTGGGGGCACCCAGATGATGATTGATGTCCACAGAGGCAACGAGCTCACGTGTTTGAGTACGCCTAGTTTCGTGAAGCGTCTCAAAGAGCTTCGCATACTGCTCCTGGAGGACCTCATTCTTCATTGCTATCTTGTTGTTCTGAGCTTCTAGCTCATCGACTTTAGCTTAAAGAGCAACCCTCTTTCCTTCCTTCTTTCGTTGTTTTACACTAGGTGCAAGAGGGGTGTCATTCTGTGTGTTGTGGCTTCCTTCGCTCCCCATGTTGGAGAAGGATGTCTGGTCAAAAGAGAGTGTACGAATGGTGGAAACCAGCTTAGCAAAGCTGAAGAGAGTGGGAATAAGTGTCGTTCCCACAGACGGCGCCAAATGTTGATGCACAAAATCAATGAGGACTTTGGTACAACAGAAAGTGTTAAGTTTATGACCTTCGCTAGATTGCTTCGGTCACTAGTGTGGATAAGTATGTAAATAGATAGGGGCAGGGAAGCAAACAAAAGATGTACGTGGTTCACCTAGATTGGCTACGTCCATAGAGTAGAGGAGTTCTCATTAATTGTGAAAGGTTTACACAAGTACATAGATTCAAGCTCTCATTTAATGAGTACTAGTGAATGATTTAGTACAAATGATATTCGGAAATATTGTGAGATGATGATCTCTATTTATAGAAGAGAGTTTCTAGTTTTATTCTGACATTGACACGTGTCGTGTTGTGATTGGCTTCTGATGTTGACACGTGTCGCGCTATGATTTGCTTCTGATGTCGACACGTATCGCGTTGTGATTGACCTCCTGGTTGGAGGGAAACTCTTCTGGGTCCTTGACGGTATACGTTGACCGGTGCTCAGTAGTTTTGGGATTGATTAAGTATGGTACAAACACATTGGATATAATATATATCTATATAGTTTGGCGTCACCTGTGAGTCTCTGACCAATCTGCAGAAAGTAGTAGTTGCGGCTATTTCCATCGATATGGGCAATGACTTGAAACGCACATGCAGTGTCACTACTCAGTAGTCAGTATATAACTGATTCTGCGTCTTTCTGATCTGTCATTGATGATTAATATGGTGAGTCCCGAGTCCTGAGTCCTGACTGACTTCAATCCCACATCACTTGCAGATCCTCTCTTTCTGATTTCTTTTTCTTAATTGGCATCAATCTTTCCTTTCATGGATGAGTGTGCTTTTCTATTCGCTGACATCTCAAATTCTAACATATTTTAAGAAGAGCATCTCCAATAAACACCACAAATTGTAACATATTGGTAAACTAATTTTAATATTGCATTAACAAAATTGACAGATGTAACTAAAATTGCAAATTTTGTAAAACAGAGTGGTCAAAATTTGCTAAATTGAAAACCCAATGGCCAAAATAGATTTTGACCATAAACACGGTGAGAAAAAAGATTATAATCCGACAATAAAGTTTGTAAAGTAAGTTAAGTTTAAAATTGTAAATTTGTAAATTTTACTCTTTAAATTGTCACGTAACGAACAAATTAGTATTTGAGAGTTACATTTGTCGAGTGCAACTTACATGATGTGTAGAAAAACTTACCATGACAATACATATTCTTAGAAGGGATAATCACTTGACAGTAACACGTTCTACATAGGTTACTTTTCAAATTTTGTGTAGCATATTTGAGACGCATTTAAGAGCCTGAACATTTAAATACCCAGCCAAAGCCAACCCTCAAAGAGCCAATTACGTCAGGAAGTTACAAAACATTGAAGAGATGAAAAGATGGTGGTTTTCTCTCAATCTTTGGAAAAATTCTTCAGTTTCAAGTTGGAAATGAGATCCACTTCAGATCCTTGTGTTTGAACCGTTCAAGAGAGAGTAAAAGATCCAAGCCGTTCAAGTTTGAGTGTTTGGAAAGTGACCAGTGAAATTGGCTAATAGACATCACATGATTGAAATTGAGCAGTCTAAATCTCTTCGGGCTCGAGACACAAATCTAGAAGTGGATCTCAATCCAGTTGAGTATTGTGATTGACAGTGTCATGGTGTCAAAGCTGAACAAATTCTATGATGTAGGGTTCAAGGTACAAGTTACAACAAGACATCCACCAAGCAAGAATAAAAAATAAAATGAAACATGCGCAATTCTCATCATGGTAAGCAAATTGTCCGGAGGCATAATAGGTCGCATTATTTCAAGCATCAACTCTCATTCCATGCCAATAATAATCTGAAACTGAGGAGAAAGACGATCTGTGCAGAAGACAATCGCACGATAAAAAGCTTTCATTTCTTTTGCATTTTGTTGTTTCAATTGTACATGTGGTGGCTAACTGAAAATGGAGTTTGTACTTTGTAGTAGTAGTAAATGACCGGGAATTATGTATACGAATTGGGTAACCTAGATACAAGCAAATACAGGTGGAACGCCAAGCGTCATCCGTAGCCTGGGACAATGGAGAGGACCGATTAACGTTCTGAGTACTAACTGGCAACCTGCTGCAATGGAGACCAGGCAATTTCATCATCATCAGTGTGGCCCTGAATCAGAAAATCAGAACAATTTTTCTGCACCCATGGTTATACGGGTTTTGGAACCGCCCATCTGGACCGCGAAGATACCCATAACGATTAGCATTTGCCAATTCATTGGTGGTGATATTTCGAGCTATCTGTTTCAGAGATGAAACAACATAATCAGTCTAGTCTCACTAACTTAGAAGAGTTTAAAAGGCAATTACTGTAAGTACATCTGTGAAAATTAGACTAATGAAGGGGTCAAATTCAAAAAAACATACCAATGTGCAGGTACAAAATAGTAAAGAAAACTAACTTTAACTACAAAAAAGAGAGCCAAATTTTGCAACATCCAATTCATTAATTAGTCTTCATGGCCATTTTCGTTTCTCTTGCTAGTATTCTCAACAGGATGCCAAAAGGGGCATAACTTTCTTATCAATTGCTATCTGCTCCCACATTCTTTTCCCATAACTTAACGAGTTCTTCAATCGATATTTATACCACCGCAAAAGGAAAAATCTCAAGAAAGAAGGAAAGGGAGGTAAACAAAAAATAAATTGTCTTCCAAATTAAAGACCGTATGAGCTGGCTAATCCTTGAATGCAACAGAATGCTAGTTAATCCATTTCAAGAGTATGATTCCCATCTCAGTAGATGTAGTTTTCACATTTTCGGAGGAACACATGTTTTGTCTTTTGCTAACTTAAGCTAACATTATGTAGCAAGGGTTCCATCAATTACCTGAGTTGCCTGTGCCTTCGTTAGGGTTGTAGCAGCTATCAAAATGATTATGTCCACAAACAGAAAAGCAACAATACTAGGATATTGAACTACCACACGACGAATCCATGTTTCTTCTGTTTGCAATCCCGGCAATGCACTCCAAATCCCTGTCATCAGGAAAAGACAGCTGTCATCTAGTAAAAAAATGAAACAAATAGTTCAACGCAAAGTTCATAATGTCTGCTACCCACATACTTTGAACTGCAACGGCAGTAGAAAGGAGTGACGTCAAAGTTCCTAAGCAGATAAATATAAAGAAATCCCGTTTGTTTCTCTGCAAGAAGCAAATTAAGAGGCGGTGAAGCTGGTGGAAACAAATGTGACCTCAAGAATCCATAACATAGTTATACTGAGTTGGACTATGATAAGAAGTTAGCACTACTTACCTTTCCAACACAATTAGATATCCATGGACAATGATGGTCAAACTGTTCTACACATCGGTTACATGTGGGGCAGTGTTTAGAGCGAACAGGTCTAATTATCTGAAACAAAAGAACGTCAGAAAAACATGACATTAATCAAATACACAATAATCATGTGCACCATAAAGAAATATCCAAATATATTATTATATTTAGTATCCTCTTTGAAAGAAAATAGGACATCAAGTTAACCGTGCAAGTGGGGCAAAGTTGAGACCAATTTCCCATCCATACAGAGGAATTGTTTAAAGCAATATTCAACAAAGGATCCTGAAAAATGTTGGTGCCCTATTAGTAAGCTCAGTTACACAAGTATATAAGTCAGCAAGGCCCCATCTGGAGCTGCATTTCTGAACACTGCCACATACAGAGTAAAATTGTTTTTACCACATATGCACGCAGAATATGTAGGTTTAAAAACTCGAGCATGTCTTGTGACATCATTATTTTTCAATTGCATTATATGGGTCATTTATTGCCTGGTCGCATATATATTGCTGAGGGAGACTGACTTGTCTTGCATAATTCCAAAATCAAGGGTTCTTTTGTTCTATCAGAATAATTGATCTTTGAGTTTGGGGAAGAAGGTGAAAGTCTTCTGTAGTTGCAGATCAATAGCTTAGCTTTCAGTGCTGTGGTTGGAAACAAAAACAAGGATCATTGAAAATTTTGATGGGAAGGAGTAGAGTTTTCTTTACATGACAATTCCTTGATTTTGGACCTCTCTCAGTTCCGTTTCATCCAAATCTTGTGATACACGATTTTTTTACTTATGCATATGTGATGCTGTCATAAAAGATGCACTTAACATTTTTCCATCAGATGAGATTCAAACTATCGACCTAAATAAGTTCAAAATAAGTTTCATGCCTACCACCTTCTGTTTTAGAGAAACTGATGGCTTCAGAAAAGAAAATAAATGAATAAATAGAAATTGTTACGGTTAGTCATCAGAAGACTACTTATTTTGAACATAGATGATAAAGACTAAACAGAAACATTGCATACCTCTGTATTTATAGGATTGCTGAAATCCCCTGCTCTTTTGATGTAACCTGGATCCTTACTGCAAGCAAATGTGGTAATTGTTTAACGACATCACAGTAGTAAATGTGGCAGATAATTGTTTAGATAATTCATTACTAAACAGAAGATTTGTGGTATATATATATATATAAAGCACATCTACTATTAAAGCATGAATTTGCCAGGCTGGTAATCTCTTGGCAATGTTTCAGATGTATTAGGTTCCTCCAAAAAAGGACCGGGTGGGATTATCTGGTGGCTGTGGAAAAAACCAACATTTAGTGCTAAGTAACTACTACACTGTGTAAATTAGAAGTTCAAGTATCAACGCACATTCAAATTTTCTTACTGAAACTAATTAAAAACATACCCATTTCCGAGAACTGGAGAAGACGAACATAAAATTTGAATTTACTTTTAATTATGGATTCCAGGAAAGAATTACCTGCTGCACCTGTAGAACATAATCAAGGAACCCACTGCTAATGAAATGGCAGCCCATCCCCAAAGACCGACAGCAGCAGTAACCTTTGTCAGATTAGGTGCTAACATGAGTAAGTATGTAGTCAGTAAGGAATAATTAGCAAGGGAACTCAATCTATCTGAAATCTAAAGGAAAACTGGAACAGGCTTTACTACCTGCGAGGACTGAGTTCATAAAGAGAACTGTCTGAAAGACTATTATACACAACAAGACAGGTGCGTAACCAATATCCGCCATCTTCCCAATGCAAAATTTGTCTCTCCAGCATTTTCTATGAGCCCGCTGCTGGTTAGCCTGCACAAGATATAAATAAACCCTTGTTTCTAACATGGTTATATTTTAAATATACCTATTAATTGTTAACCAAATGTTGTAGAATACAATTTTCCCATCCACAGGGGACACATCACTTGAAATTACTTTTCTCATGGGAAGAAAATATACAGAAGGATAGATATGACATATATGTTTACAAACTCCTGCAACTATTCCAGAAAAGAGAAAACAAATTCATGTTTGGGGAGGCATGTAAGTTATGGAAAGTACATGAGAACCAGTAACCAATTTGCTTACCTTATATATGTACTATACATTACACTAAATTCTCAACAAAGAAAAGAAACTGTGAATAATAAGAAATGTCAAAATCTATGAGATGAATCTATGCAACCATTGCAAGACATGGTCCGATATCAAAACCTCCTCCCAAACTGAACCTCATATTCCCATATCTGCTTTTCAAGTCTCGTTAGATTTGGTGATGAGAAAGCTACCAGGAGTGCTACAAATATAAATTTACGTACAAGGAAGAGAGCGACACGCTGATGACCTTTATCAGATGCAATCTGAACAGGAGTAAAACCAGTATTGTCTTTCACCATTAATTCCTTCTTAGAGCCAGCATAGACAAGCACAGTGCAAGCCTCCATGTTCCCCCTTAAAGCAGCCCAGTGCAAAGGGGTACAACCTAATACAATAGTATACTCAAATCAGACCAGAGAGCAGAGAACCAAAAAGAAGAATTAGCATGATTGAAAGTAATATTGTTCGATATAAAAGAAAAAAAATATTTACAAGTATCCTAAGGTAGCAAATTCATGATCATAGCCATCGACGTGTTATGTATTGCATTATTTGACACCCGTCACGAAACATGTCTAATCACTCTCTTCTACTCAAGCCAGTTTTGACACATTACATAAACAGCTGATGTAGAAATTTAATTGTACTACTAATATAACCAGAACACAACATATTTAGGTGAATAGTGCACATTTACCTTCTTTATCTTGTCTCCCTTGGCATGCATCTCTAAACAGAAGCAATCTAACTGTATCTGCAAAACCTTTATAGGCGGCCCTGGTTGAAAATATAATAATTGATTAATTTTCCTGTAGACAGTCTCACAACAAATATTTCATGTTACCAGATACGTATGACTGCTACACAGAACAGAATAATTTGATCAATGACCTCAGTTCAGAAAACTTGTTTTGCTAATCAGATGTGGCACTTTTGTCATTTAAAGGCTCAGTCAAAAACACAGATGATCAAAATAGACCAATCAAATAATCGCAAAGGATAATCTAGACAACTCGAAGTATTCCATGCATACTAAACAACATTAACAAAAAGGCAAAGAAGTTGGATGCTAGTGTTATGGACAAATCAAATCTAGAATGAACTAATTCCGGTGCTTTATGTAGATGTACATAATGAACCACATCTGATATTGAAAGCTTTGTGGGGGTATACAGACAGGTATTGTACCCCTGCAAGTCCTTATAACACACCAGGAGTCATTTTATGGTTCTAATACCAATCTGCATACCTCCACAAGGGTCACAGAGTTACATTAGAAAAAAGGTAGGGATAAATGAGCAATAAATAACCACTTCAACCCTTTATCCACACATTCTTTGCACGTGTGCATAAAACAACGTGCCTATGAATAGATTTAATTCATGACAGCCCATGTTGTCATGGAGAAATTAAAAAAGCTTGATGTCAATGTCACAGATTATCTATGTCAACGTAAACCATGTCAGTATGCCATAGTATAGCCTTTCAACATACCAATGAAGAGGACTCCTCCCCTCATTATCAGGGGCATCAAAATCAGCGTGATATATTGCAACAATGTGATTCAAAAAAGATGTTTGCCCATATTGAGCAGCAACGTGAACTGCCTGCGGTAAATTAAACAAGTGACAAGAAAAAACTAGTAGCAATAACATCCCTTGCATGCATGAAAATATAGGACTAACAACTAGTTTTAAAGTATACATCACCCCATCAAAATTAAATTCATATTAAATATAAATCTTCCAAAAAATAATATGATTATAAATATAATAATCGCTTTATAAAATAAATAATGCTACATATTGAGAACATAGCGACAAAGTATGCCAACACATTGCAGTCAACCGTCAGTGCCAAAAACTGATTATCTGCAAGTCACCACACCAAAGAAAATTTGTACACATGTACTTCATCTCATTAACGTATGTTACATATGCAACTAGTGTTAAAAACTGGGCTTCACTTTTAGTCGTTGGATTCGGCAGTTGAATACTTAATTTAAGTAAAACTAATGAAAACTACGTGTGACCCATGAATAACACGCTCCATCGCTTCTGGAATCTCATCCACGCCACGTCTCCACTTTCAGCTCTTCATTTCCACCAATAAAAAGGTGGAATCAAGGTTTTAAAGGTCCATTTTAGTGTCTGAAAATTATCTCAATCTCAATGAACTCAAAGCTAACAGTTTTGTAAGAGAAAAGAACCTCAGTAAACATAAACATAGATACAAGAACTGAAAAAATTAGGAACATGAATAGAACATACATGTCCCACAATACAGATATACAAGAGCAGGGCAAGACTATGGGGAACTACTTTTAAAGAAATGGGTCCCAAGTCAAAAGTGTAAGAATGATACACAGGGAACCAAAATAGGTATGACAGGATGAGCATCCTTCCCATGGCATTTTCTTCCTTCCTAAATTCTCTATAATCTCCCCCCCCCCCCCAATTGAGCTTCTTTAATTCCTTTTGCAAGAACTGGGTGATATGGGGGTTTGGACCGGCCTAGAAGTCTCAGAGAACCCTAATTAGAGATCCTTTGCAGTAGAGAGAGACACGTGCGGTATGGGAAAAGATGTATCATTTCAGATGAACAGAAGAAAAAGTTGTGGAGTACTTGGTGCAAATGACTGGTGGGTAGTCCAGTCCCAGATTATTTGGCGGGGATTAAGGGGGTAGGCACTGAGAATGTTGAGGTGGTCTATTTGTGGGGTTGGATGAAATTGCTGAAGCAAGGAAGGAAGCGGATTATCCAGGGACCATGGGTCTTCATCATTTGTTTCACAAGAAATGTATGCATCAATGAATCCTAATCCTTAATCATATACCTGGTTCAGCCTAATATAATAGTTTCTATTTCAAAATAGACAAACTCAAACAAGAAAATTAAGGAAAATGAAAAAAAAAATTAAAAAGAGAGGAAATGAGACAATTACCCGGTAGTCATGTACATCAGCTGCCTCAACCCTAGCTCCATTCTGCAAGAGCACATCCGCCGCCAAAATTGCACCCTGCACAGCTGCCCAATGCAATGCTGTCTGCTGTACATTGTCAGTCGCACTGACATCGCCGCCATGCTTTGACCACATCAATAACAAGTACATTAATACAGATCAAGCCAACCTCACTAAAGAATACAGCAGTCCAATACCAAAAATGGGACAAAATAAAAACAGAATATGCTTCATCACCAGTAACCAAACCCACTGCAAAATTTGAACATTTCCACACAAACCCACTGCAAAATTCAACCTTTCCTCACAAACCCAGCAAAGAAAAAAAGCTAATTCAGAGAGAGAGAAAGGTTTTAGAGCATAGATACCTGAATTATGTAGTGAGCGATATCGGGGAAGTTATTGAGAGCAGCCCAATGGAGGGCGTAGTAGCCATGGACGTCTGGCTTGGAGAGAGAGGCACCATCTTGCTCGACGAACTTTCTGAGTTTCTGAAAATCGCCATAAGCAGAAGCAGAGAAGACGTCAAGCACGGGCATTTCCGCAGGGTTTTTCTGGGTTTTTGGTTCCGACGACACCACCTCTATCTCTGAAGAAGCCATCGCTGCAGAGCTAACAACATAAGGGAGGGCACTCAATCACTGTAACGGAGGAGGGATTGAGAATTTCAGATGATAGGGTTTCTCAAGTGAATTGCGGAACTCTACTTCCTCTGCATCCGTAGTAACTACTGCTGACACAGGTTTCGGTTGCAAAAATCCATCACAATGCGTCATGATGACGACTATCTCCATCATAATATTTTTTTATTCTATATCTTTTCTTTAGAAAAGTGATGGTTTAAATGAACTAACAATCCTGAGTCTAAGGATCAAATGATCCAGACGGTTGAAATTTGATTCAACGGTTACAAACATAAGGTTCTTCTAAAAGTTATAATAATTGTAGTCGTTGGAACAAATTTCAACGGTCTGGATCAGTTGATCCTTAGGCCCAGGATTAGATCCGGAGATGATTTGGGTTCAGTTTAAATATAGCTTACCATCGCTCTTTTAATTAATTTAATCTATTTTTTTATACCAAATCATGTTAAGACGATATTGCTATATGTATCTTGTGAATTTTGCATGTAACGCCTTAACGTAATGGTGAAAAACAATTATGTCTATGCACCTTGATGTGGGCATTCCATCGATCCTCCTCCCCAAATATTTAACAATTTAATCCACTACACTATCGGTTAGTCAAAAAAAAAAATATATATATCTTATGAATTTTTATTGAAAAATACTTGGATAAGAACACCATAATAGTATGATACAACCAACAACAACAACAACAAAGCCTTTTCCCATTAAGTGGGGTCGACTATGTGAATCCTAGAACGCCATTGCGCTCGGTTTTGTGTCATGTCCTCCGTTAGATCCAAGTACTCTAAGTCTTTTCTTAGGGTCTCTTCCAAAGTTTTCCTAGGTCTTCCTCTACCCCTTCGGTCCTGAACGTCTGTCCCGTAGTCACATCTTCGTACTGGAGCATCAGTAGGCCTTCTTTGCACATGTCCAACCCACTCATTCCTAATCTTATCCTTTCTCGTGAGCTCACACCTCTAACGAAGCATTCTCATCTCCGCTACACCCATTTTGTGTACGTGTTGATGCTTCACCGCCCAACATTCTGTGTCATACAGCATCGCCGACCTTATTGTCGTCCTATAAAATTTTCCCTTGAGCTTTAGTGGCATACGACGGTCACAAAACACACCAGATACACTCTTCCACTTCATCCATCCCGCTTGTATTCCATATATTCTGTCTTTGATCGGCTTGGGCGAAGACCTTTAGATTCCAACACTTCTCTCCAAAGGTTAAGCTTCGCATTTACCCCTTCCTGAGTTTCATCTATCAACCCTATATCGTTTGCATAAAGCATACACCGAGGAATAACATCTTGAATATGTCTTGTTAACTCATCCATTACCAATGCAAAAAGGTAAGGACTTAAGGATTGTTGATGCACAAAATCAATGAAGACTTTGGTACAACAGAAAGTATTAAGTTTGTGACCTTCGCTAGATTGCTCCGATCATTAGTGTGGATAAGTATGTAAAAGGATAGAGACATGAGAGCAAACACAAGATGTACGTGGTTCACCCAGATTGGCTACGTCCACAAAGTAGAGGAGTTCTCATTAATTGTGAATGGTTTACACAAGTACATAGGTTCAAGCTCTCCTTTAGTGGGTACAAGTGAATGATTTAGTACAAATGGCATTAGGAAATATTTTGGGAGAATGATCTCCTTTTATAGAAGAGAGTTTCTAGCCTTATTCTGACATTGACACGTGTCGTGTTGTGATTGGCTTCCGATGTTGACACATGTCGCGCTATGATTGGCTTCTGATGTCGACATGTGTCGTTCTGTGATTGGCCTCCTGGTTAGAGGGGAAGCTCATCGGTTGGGGACTTGCAAGATTCAAGCCGCTGAGTAATCAGAAAACTTCTAAGTACCGAAGTGTGGTATCGTCTTCACTTGCCTTATCTATCTCATAAGTAGATGTGGCATCTTCTCTGGAAGTACTCTTCCTCCGTCCAGGGGTGGTATCTTTAACTGGTGGAGATGCACAAGGTAATGTATCAATTTCACTTGAAGCTTACTTGTAGTTTCAGACGTGGTCAAGCGCGATACAAACCATGTAGTAGGAGTCCCCCAAGTCGCCGAGCTAGGGGATCTGCTGAAAGAGGTGACAGACAAGGTAAGCAATCAGAGCTCCAAGCAATCAGTCCCAGATCAGAAGTTTGATTTCGAGTTTCGGCTGATTGTTCTCATTCTCCTTATCTTGCAGGCAGCATGAAGGATAAAGAGAAGAAAAGGAAAAGAGATGATATGAGATACTTTTGCTTTTGAAAAAGTAACTTTCCACAGGCTTATTCTTGAACTGGGCTGGAGGGTTTTCTGGTTACCTCCAGAGTATAAGGGCGACTGAAGAATTTGAGGGTCAAAACAAGTCTATCAAATCTAGAGTACGTTCGACCCTGCTGATATGGGATACTTTTGCTGTTGACAAAGTAGTGGAAGTATCGGCACGTGTTCTGTTACGCTTGTCTCCACATGCTTCCTTGTATCCTTCTCACTGGCCCTTTCTGTTCCTCAGGCAGATGTGGTATCTTCTCTGGAAGCATGAGTACTCGAGAGCAATGCCAGGTAAGCAATCAGGTAAAGGGTTCTAGGCAGTCAGTTCCTGACTGGAAGCTTGATTCCAAGTGCTGACTGATTGCTCTCTTTCTCCTTGTCTTGCAGGTAAAAACAAGGTCAAAGGAAAAGACAGGGAAAAGCATGATATAGGATACTCTTGCTTTTAACCCTGATGATATGAGATATTCTTGCTTTGGTGTAGCTTGTTTGCTGAGGTATTATTGGGGGGGAAAGAAAGCTGAGTATTTCGAGAGGATTCGTTGGGACTGCCCTCTCAGATATGAGGAAGGGTTGAGCATTTTTGCAGGTCTGCCTGTCCATTGAGGATGGAGGTCGACATATATAAGAGTCTCCCTAACAATAAGTAGTAATGCTATTCCTTTACCCTTCTTGGTCATAGCACTGTAGTGGGAACTGCCCGCTTCACGTGTTTTAACTATGTCAAAGCACTTTGAAAAAGTGGTCTATGGTATCTGGAAAGCTGATGTTGCGTGTGAAGATTACAGACAAGCTTTATCCAAGGAGATTTGGCTCTCGAAGTTGAGAAAGCGATGCCTCTTCGGTTTTCAAACAAGCGATCCTGTCGGGAATCTGGCTCTCGAGATTCGGAGAACAGTGCCTCTTCGATTTTTGAGAAAGCAATCCTGCTAGGAGTCTGGCTCTTGAAATTCGGAGAGCGGTGTCTCTTTGATTTTTGAGAAAGTAATCTTGTTGGGAGTCTGGTTCTCGAGATTCTGAAGGCGGTGCCTCGTCGAATTTGGAGCAAACAATCTTGTTGGGAGTGTTTTCTCGAATGTGAGTAAAGGTTGGGCATTTTTGCTAGTCTACCTTGCCACGGAGCACAGAGGTTGACACACAGGGACTTTCCAATTATCCAGCAGTGATGCTGTTCCTTTACCCTTGTGGGTAATAATATGGTAGCTAAACCTTGAAAATTTATGTGTCTAAACTTTGTTAGTGCTGTTTCTTTGCTATTCTTTTACCCTTCTTGGTCATAGCGATGTAGTGGGAGCTGCAAGCTTCACGTGTCTAAACTTTGTCATAGATCTTTGACAAAGTTATTTGTGGTACCCATGAGCTGATGTTGCGTGTGGAAAGTGGATGATTGAACAGTAAGATTCACATGCTTTCTACTTCACCAGAAATCTTCGACAGATTGCCCGTACTTTCCGCAAAGCTGAGTGTGCATGTGACAAGTGCTGACAAAGCTGAGAAAGCAGGTGCCTCTTCGATTTCTAAGATCGGCCCTCGTGGTCTCTGAGCAGCCCAGCTTTTGAGAAAGCAAGCGCCTCTTCGATTTTTGAGATCGGCCCTCGTAGTCTTTGAGTAGCCCAGCTTTTGAGAAAGCAAATGCCTCTTCGATCTCTGAGATCGGCCCTCGTGGTCTCTAAGCAGCCCAACTTTTGATAAAGCAAACGCATCTTCGATTTCTGAGCAGGCGCCTCTTCGATTTCTGAAGTTCCGTCGAGTGCAGATTTTTATAGAGGTTGGCATTAAGTTCCAAAGCACACTTGAATCTCCACCAGTAGAAGCTCCATTCTTGCACTTCTAAGATCTTGATTTGTCCGACCTCTTCTCTCTTCAACACCTTTGAAAATGTCTGGCCCTTCCGACCGTCGTTTTGACTTGAACCTCTGTGAAGAGGCAGCCGCGCCTTCTCCAGACAACATATGGCACCCATCCTTCTTATCCCCTACTGGTCCTCTTACTGTTGGGGATTCCGTAATGAAGAATGATATGACCGCTGCGGTGGTGGCCAGGAACATTCTCACTCCCAAAGATAACAGACTTCTTTCCAAACGGTCTGATGAGTTGGCTGTTAAGGATTCTCTGGCTCTCAGTGTTCAGTGTGCAGGTTCTGTGTCTAATATGGCCCAACGCCTATTTGCTCGAACCCGCCAAGTTGAATCATTGGCGGCTGAAGTGATGAGTCTCAAGTAGGAGATTAAAGGGCTCAAGCATGAGAATAAACAGTTGCACAGGCTCGCATATGACTATGCTACAAACATGAAGAGGAAGCTTAACCAAGTGAAGGAATCTGATGGTCAGATTTTACTTGATCATCAGAGGTTTGTGGGTTTGTTCCAAAGGCATTTATTGCCTTCGTCTTCTAGGGCTGTACCGCGTAATGAAGCTCCAAATGATCAACCTCCGATGCCTCCTCCTTCTAGGGTTCTGTCCAAGTACTGAGGCTCCGAGTGATCACCCTCCGGTGCCTTCTCTTTCTGGGGCTCTACCGACTGCTGAGACTTTTCCTAAGCAACCTTTGTGAAGGCCCCCTCTTGTTTGTTTATTTTGACTCATGTATATGTACATATTTATAACTTATCGGAGATATCAATAAATAAGTTTTGCTTCATTTCAACGTATTGTGTTAAATACACCAAAGCCTTCTTCGCTAAGTTCTTTGAATTTTTCTTTTGTTGAAGCTTGTATGTTGAAGCTTTGTAAGTGAAGCATGTAGGTTGAGGTAGTGTTCCCTTAATTTCTCGAATGAGGAAAACTTCTCAGTTGGAGACTTGAAAAATCCAAGTCACTGAGTAGGGTCGGCTATATGAATCTTAGAACGCCATTGTGCTCGGTCCTGTGTCATGTCCTCCGTTAGATCCAAGTATTCTAAATCTTTTCTTAGAGTCTCTTCCAAAATTTTCCTAGGTCTTCCTCTACCCCTTCGGCCCTGAACCTCTATCCCGTAGTCGCATCTTCTAACCGGAGCGTCAGTAGGCCTTCTTTGCACATGTCCAAACCACCGTAATCGATTTTCTCTCAGCTTTCCTACAATTTCGGCTACTCCTACTTTACCTCGGATATCCTTATTCCTAATCTTATCCTTTCTCGTGTGCCCACACATCCAACGAAGCATCCTCATCTCCGCTACACCCATTTTGTGTACGTGTTGATGCTTCACCGCCCAACATTCTGTGTCATACAGCATCGCCGGCCTTATTGCCTTCCTATAAAATTTTCCCTTGAGCTTCAGTGGCATACGACGGTCACACAACACGCCAGATGCACTCTTCCACTTCATCCATCCAGCTTGTATTCTATGGTTGAGATCTCCATCTAATTCTTCGTTCTTTTGCAAGATAGATCCTAGGTAGCGAAAGCAGTCGCTCTTTGGTATTTCCTGATTTCCGATCCTCACCCCTAACTCATTTTGGCCTCCATTTGCACTGAACTTGCACTCCATATATTATGTCTTTGATCGGCTAATAGTATGATACAACCAACTCATAAAAATATAATCGTCTTCAAATAATCGTGGGAATTTGTTGATATGTGGCAATCTGACATCAGAGAATTAGTTTTATTTGAAAACCAAACCAAGCTGGCCAATTCTATCTGATTCTGGCAGTTTTTCTGTTTTAGACCCACAGGTGAAAGCTAAAGCATCAGACCATGCGACAGTCAACTCATATCATGTAAGATATCCTTCGCGCTAGACATTCATGTGTCATGACATGTAATTGTTCATTTAGAAAATAGAAATAAAAATAAAAACCTTCCAAAGAGTAAACGTATGTTACAGACAATAAAGCAGATTACTTCCATAAAAAATAAAATAAAAATTAAAGCAGATTACTTGATTTTCAAGAAAATAATAAAACTTTAATAGTAAAAATTCATTACCACTAGTGACAAAGTAAAAATTCATCACTTCAATAAAGCAGATTTATATCAATCCCAAAAGAGAAAAAATAGTGCAAATTTACATTATATTTACATTTCTTAAATTTGCTTTCGAGTTCTTGAATACTTGAATGAAAAACCATGGCACGTGTTCTTAAAACAGAGCTAAAAGTAGAGCTCAAGAACTTGTAAAGGACACAGATAACAAGTATACCATACTAGGGTGCTTGGGAGAACCATGTCGAAGGAACTCGGCAAAATGACCCCATGACTTCGAAAGAAGGGGTGTCAGTAGGTGCAGCAACAACTATGAAGAGTAACAAGAGATGTTACGCAGATTTATCACTTTCTTGTTCAGATTTAGAATCTTTTGCCTTTTTCTCCATGACCTGCTGGATGCCTTCTTGGTACCCATGTATAAAACTTTGAAGAGCATCTCTATATGCAGACGCTCTTGTCATGTACACCCGCTGCAGAGCAGGCTTTAATGTCTCCATTCCTCCTCTTGCAGCCACAGCTATTTGTTTTTATTTCCAGTGAAAAGCATTAAACATAATCAGATCTCAAACCGTTATAACTGAAAAGCATAAAGATTTAACTAAACAAAAGTACTCTTTTGTTGTTTATGTTGTTAGAGAAGGGGGAGATGAAATGAAAAAAGCTTATTACGACAGAAAAATAAAACGACACAGGCAAGAGAGAGAGAGAGGCCTATGTGTTTTTATCACAACAGATTGGTAAAAGTTACAGAATCATAACCCAAATTCTATACAGAAGTTTAGAGACACAGGCAATCGACAGATGAAAGAGCACCCAAACACAAAAACCAGCCAGAAAGAACTGCCTTACAAAAAAGTGCACGCAAATCTTCCTTTCTATACTTGTTACTCACACTGGTTTACTTCATCTTCCCTTTGCAGCTATTCTTTTGTTGTTTATGTTGTTAGAGATGGGGCCGATGAGATGAAAAAAGCTTATTACGACAGAAAAAGAAAACGACACAGGCAAGAGAGAGAGAGGACTATGTGTTTTTATCACAAAGAGTGGTAAAAGTTACAGAATCATAACCCAAATTCTATTCAGAAGTTTAGAGACACAGGCAATCGACAGATTAAAGTGAACCCACACACAAAAACCAGCCAGGAACAACTGCCTTACAAAATAGTGTCCGCAAATCTTCCTTTCTATATTTGTTACTCATACTGGTTTACTTCATCTTCCCTTTACAATCATAAAGTTGAACCACTTTCAAAAGAAGCATATGTAGATTTTTTATTTTTTTATTTTTTTTGAAGCTGTTTGGATATGCAAACAACTATTAAAAAGTAACCTTCTAACCTACTGTACTTGAAGCAGAATTGATGCATGTAAAATATTTGACGGGATCGAATTATCAAGTTGCATGATTCAATGATTATTTATGCCAACTTCCTAAGTAAGAACATTGCAGGACACTAATGCAAACCAAATCAAAGAACAAAAAGCAAAGATCTATTGGGCATCAGTCATTATCTTCGTAGTCATATGCATGCACACATCATATAGAACAAGCATGCATTCCGCTAAGTTATTGTTAAAATGGTCACATTGATTGATGTGGCAGCATAATGTAGACATTACTTACCAAGATCCTCTAAAGTTGAGGGTTCTTTCTCTTTAGCCGTTCTCTGTGCTCCACCAGGTCCATCTTCACTCTCTTTATTCTTATAATCATTAGGTCGCAGTTCAGGACCAACATCCCGCACCCAGCTGGCGGCATAAAGCCTAGAAGCCTCCTTCAACACCTGACAGCCAACGCAAGGTATAAAATTATAAATTACATCCTTCATGTTAACACCACACGCATAAATATACTAATAAGCTTTAACATATCCTAAGCACAAAAACATAGTTCATACTCGATGAAAACAAGACAAACTATATCTGAAACTAGACGAAAAGAAAAGCAATAGCCAAATATTATTAATACCTCAAATCATCAGAAACAAAATCAACTTTAACACTCAGAACTTCAAATTTTAAAGCATTCTACGGTTGAACAATTGGCCTTATTATCAAAATTCATATCAGAATTGGTCAAGAGAAAGATCAAATGGTTAGACTACCCAAATAAGAGGCTGATACGTACCCAACCCCCGAGTTAGGTAAACAATTAAAACACACAAACTAAAACTAGACTCTTTCTACACGAATCGCTTCCGCTCAATAGTACTTTTATATTAGTACTTTTATCATAAGCAATTAAGCGTATAAATAGATTTCAGTGATAATCCAAGTGTTTCCTGGAAACCACCTATCCGTTAGCTCAATAGTACTTCTCCATGGAGCGCCATTTTAGACAATTGTTAAAAAATGTGTTTTCTGATATCTGAAAGGTCAAAAGAACTCCCAAACATGCTGTGTGTCCATTTTATTTTCAAAAAGCATTTTAACAATCAAGTGCTTGTAATTACTTCAACGATCCATGAGTTAGTTAAATGAATTGGATGTGAGTATGATTAACTACAGAGCCTATATCTATATGTGTAATGGAAATGAATGTAAGGGGCATACCAAGAACCACTCACGCATGGTGAGCTTACGGCGCTTCTTGATATGAGGAGGGTCCGGCAGCGAAGATGGAAATGCAATCTCTTTCAGATCATAACGAATGTAATCATACACTTTCCGACACACCACCCGGACCTTCATTTCTGTGGCGCCGTTAACGTCTCTCACGTTGTGATGTGTACTCCAAACTTCTAACTTTGCAGTGACTGATACTCAAAGCCTAATTCCATATGTTGCTGTACTGCACTGGTACAGACTTCCAAGCCACGGCTACCTGTATAACACTAATATCCATCTAATGCAAGCAACAAATCAAAACCACAAACCATGTCCTCAACTGCAATGGGTCCAATCCAAATGCATCCATCTAACTACTAATTACGCAATTCTTTGTCGAAAATGCTTGAAAAAAAAAACGACATGTAAAAATTGAGAGGAAAACAAATAATCCGCAAATAAGAATAATAATTCATAATTCCAACTCTATTTCTAATTCTTTTCAGTTTTCGGAACAAGAATCACAAATCACACAAGGCCAGAGAGAGAAAGGGAGTCGGAGAGAATAGTCACCTGGTTTGCGACGAAGCTGGATTAGAGAAAGGAGGGTTGAGCCTTCGGACTGGTGGAGTTCCGTGAGAGAGAGAGAGGTTTGACTGCAGCAATGGATTCTGACGGTGGTGGGTTCGGCAGTGGGGAGTGAGGGAGTGAGGAAGAGGGAGGAAGGGGGCGGGGATTTGGTTTGCTGGGTTTTGTTTCCGAGTCTTTTTTTTTTCTTTCGGGCTTTTATCAAAGGCATATTTGTCAATTTGACCTTCAAAATTGTATAGAGCGATTAATTTTTTCTTGAATTTTAATTTTAGTCAACAACTCCGTGAACTTTTATAATTACCAATTTTTTTCTTGAACTCTCACTTTAACCGATTACTTTTCTGATGTTTTATAATTTGCTAAATTTTCATCCATTTTGGTCACGCCAACGACACATAACAACTGTATGGAGGCAAAAAAAAAAATGAAAAATTAGACAAATGAAAAATTTTAAAACGTAAAGCTATGAGAGAAATTGACTATTTATAATATTTTAAGAAGTAATCAGCTAAAGTTAAAGTTTAGGGGAAAAGTGACTGATTATAAAAGTTTAGGGATAATGGGCCTACAACAATAACAACAACAAAGCATTTTTTCCACTAATTGGGGTCGACTATATGAATCCTAGAACGTCCTTGCGCTCGGTTCTATATCACGCCTTCCGTTAGATCCAAGTACTCTAAGTATTTTCTTAGAGTCTCTTCCAAAGTCTTCCTAGATCTTCCTCTGCCCCTTTGGCCTTGAACCTCTGTCCTGTAATCGCATCTTCTAACCAAAGTGTTAGTAAGCCTTCGTTTCACATGTTCAAACCACCATAACCGATTTTCTCTCATCATTCCTTCAATTTCGGTTACTCCTACTTTACCTCGGATATCCTCATTCATAATCTTATCTTTTCTCATGTGCCCACACATCCAACGAAGTATTCTCATCTCCGTTACACCCATTTTATGTACGTGTTGATGCTTCACTGCCCAACATTCCCTGCCATAAAGCATTGTCAGCCTTATTGTCACCCTATAAATTTTCTCTTGAGCTTAAGTAGCATACAACGGTCACACAACACGCTGGATGCATTATGCCACTTCATCCATCTAGCTTGTATTCTATGGTGAAGGTCTTCATCCAATTCTCCGTTCTTTTGCAAGATAGATCCTAGGTAGCGAAAACGGTCGCTCTTTGGAACTTCATGGTCTCCAATCTTCACCTTTAACTCATTTGAGCCTCTGTTTGCACTTAACTTGCACTTCATATGCTCTGTCTTTGACCAACTTAGGCAAAGACCTTTAGATTCCAACACTTATCTCCAATGGTTAAGCTTCGCATTTACTCCTTCTTAAGTTTCATCCATCAACACTAATCGTCTGTGAAAAACATACACCAAGGAATATCATCTTGAATATGTCTCATTAACTCATCCATTACCAATGCAAAAAGGTAAGGACTTAAAGATGAGCCTTGATGTAACCCTACAGTAATGGGGAAGCTTTCGGTTTGTCCTTCATGAGTTATTACGGTAGTCCTTACTACATCATACATATCCTTTATAGCTTGGATATATGTTACTCGTACTCCTTCCTCTAAAATTCTCCAAAGAATGTCTCTTAGGACCTTATCATACTTTTTTTTCAAATCTATAAAAACCATGTGCAAATCCTTTTTCATATCTCTACATCTTTCCATTGATCTTCGTAAGAGATAGATTGCCTCCATGGTTGAGCACCTTGGCATGAACCCGAATTGGTTGTCAGAGACCGATGTCTCTTGCCTCAATCTATGCTCAATTACTCTCTCCCAAAGCTTCATTGTATGACTCATTAACTTAATACCCTTATAGTTCATACAATTTTGTACGTTGCCCTTATTCTTATAAATAGGCACCAAAGTCCTCTTTCGCCATTCATTTGGCATCTTCTTCGTTTTCAAAATCCTATTGAAAATGTTTGTGAGCTATGCTATACCCATCTCTCTCAAGACTTTCTACACTTCGATCGGTATATCATTTGGGCCCACTATTTTTCTGTGCTTCATCTTTTTTAAAACTATAACCACTTCTTCCTTCCTAATTCGGCGGTAAAATGAGTGGTTTCTACTCTTCTGAGTTACTCAACTCCCCCAAAGAAGTACTTATTTCATGTCCTTCATTGAAAAGATTATGAAAATAACATCTCCATTTGTCTTTGACTTCATTCTCTATAGTAAGAACCTTTCCATTCTCATCCTTGATGTACCTCACTTGGTTTAGGTCTCTTGTCTTCTTTTCCCTTACTCTAGCTAGTTTATAGATATCCAGCTCTCATTCTTTGGTATCTAGTTGCTTATATATATCGTCAAAAGCCACTAGCTTAGCTTCTCTCACAACTTTCTTCGTGTCCTTCTTAGCTTATCTCAGGGGTAACGGGCTTAACATCTAAAATTAAAGTTCAGGGAAATTAGCAGCTCTATACAAGTTCAGAGAGAAACTAACAAATACCTTCTTATCAAATGATGGCGTACTAATTGATTTTATGTATAAGGCATTGTTTGGCAGCTCAGACTGTACTGACTATTTCAGTCGGATAGGATAAATAGTCATCGTATAGTACTGACTAAATTAGCGAACGTTTGGTGTGATATCGGATAACCATAGTATTATTTATATTGTGTTTGGTGATGTGCCAATAAGAGGAAGAAAAAAAACCCAGGTCGTCATTTTCATTTCTTCATCTTTCCCCGATCAAATTGCCCAGATGAAATCTTGCATAATTTTCAAATCCTATCATTTTGCATCAAATCCTATTATCAATTCCCAGCAAAACTTATCATCTTTCTCTTTTTGAAGTATTTCCCAAGAAAACCTAATTTACAAATCTATCATCGATTCATCACCACCTTTAATTTCCTTCGAAAGCCTAAATGAAATCTTTCCCAATTATGAGTTTAATTACCTCACAACAAAATATCAATTACTAATTAATCCAAAAACCAAACAAAATCTCTCAATGTAGTCCATAACACTTTTGACAATTTGAGTAGAATGTGTAAATACATAGTTGTGTGAAAAGAGAGAGAAAGAGAAGGACAAAATCTCCAGCAATGTTGAGTGACGGCAACGACCTGGAATAGGATGAGCCCATCCATATGGGTTTCAAGGAGGAAGCCTAGCACGACATCAACTACAAGAAGCCTACCTCTAGCAACTTTCGCTCTGCCCTCGTCTCCAATTATGTCCAACAGTCCCATTAGCCATCGTCGTAGAAAATTTCAAGAAAAATAGGAAGGCAAAACAAAGTGAGAAGAAGAAAAATTTCGGCAACCTGAGATTCTCGATGCGAGAGGGACTAGAGCGGGCCGAAAGGACAGAGAAAGCGAGCAAGCAAGCGTGTTTCTACCCGAATAAATAATACAGTGCTTTTGGAGCGTATAACCAAGCGGGTGTATGTTGTATAAAAGAGGTGGGACCAGATTTTTTAATCCATTGACTATTTAATACATACGGACACCAAACACCCGGTTCCGTATTCCTAGTCCTATCCGATGCCTTATGTAGCGTACAAAGCGAGGCCAATGTGTTAGTGAATGTATAGCTGGCAACAAATTAGCAAGGGAACATAGGCGAGACAGAGAAAACAGGGACAAAGGATTAAAGATCTGTCGACTAGACTTGGATTGTCTGCGCTCCCCCATCTCATACCCTTCCCATCCCCTCCTATTTATGTGGTCACGATTAAGCCACGTCAACATTTTATATTCCCATTGCTTTTTTTCTTATTATTTCTATAAAAAAAATCAATATAAAATGTTGACATGGCTTAACCGTGACCACAGAAATAGAATGGGATGAGAAAGTGTTTGGACTCGATTTTACACTATCGACCCAAGTAATCGAGTGCCGTTGAATGACAGGGTAGTTGAAATGATTTTCAATTATTATTGAGAAATAATGTTGTGATTTTAATCATAATATTATCTCTTAATAATCTATTAAATTGTTTTAAACTAATATTTGTCTATATCCTAATTGATTTGAACGTATGGAATATTGGGATATGCGGCAGCAGATAAATATGGTGCCAAATGGTATATGCTTTTCGATGTGGCCCGTGAATGTGCTTGTTGGGATTTTATCCCATGTAACTTTGCATGCATAAGCGCCACTTGGATCAACATGGTGGAAATACAGAAGGAAACATTGATGCGAGGGCATGATTTCTTAGCTGAACTATAAGATAGTCTGGGGGCACGGTTTCTTTTTAGGCATACAAAGGATAAGGAAGAAAAACAAATGTTTGTTTTTTTAAGTAGAGTCAGATGATGATGAGTGATGACGGCTAAAGGATAAGCTCTCGCCTATCTTGAGAAGTCTTTGATTGAAGTTTTGGTTGACAAGTTTGAATTAATATCAAATTTTACAAGTCTAGATCGTGCCAAGCGAAAGACATCTACTATAAATACAGAGGCAGTGGGCCCCTCCAATTCAACACACAAACTGCCCTACGCAAACCCTCGCTCTACGTGAAGCCTCTCAACAACCTTGAGATTTTTGTTTTCTTTTTTCGCCAACACATCTTCAGTTTGGATAAATAGCACTGTGAAGGCAACCGACGAACATCTTCAGTTTGGATAAACAGCACTGTTGCTGTAGAATCAGCCGCTCGTGAAACACCTTCAATTTGGATAAACAGCACTGCGACAAGGCCGACTGGTTATCTATCCAAGTCTCGGTCAAGAAAGATCTTCGAGTCCTTATTTGCAGAGGTCATCTCGTTAGCTTTTTCAGCGAAGCGAGGTGTTACAAGTTACTATACTTGGCACATTGAACGCCGAGTTGTTTATGATTGGTTATTCGCAAGTAGGTTTTAGAGTTCGGCATTTTGACGGCCGAACCACTTTCACAATCAAGACATACATTTGTTTTGAGTATTTGTGTCCCTATACTTTCATGTTGATTCGGCGTGCTTATACTCTCACGAACATAATCACTGTGACCGAATCTGGCGCCGACGATTTGTGAACTTCGCAGAATTAACAGCCTTGTCTTCAGGCTCTAGAACCCGAAGGCCGAGAGTGTTCCTTCCTCGGCCGCAGTCACGAGATTCAGAAGTCAGCAGCTCACCCAACGCAACATCAACAAATTTTACTCATCGGCCGAGCTTGGCCGACGAGTTGGCACGCCCGCATACAACCGAATGACGT